AAAATTGAATTTTAAGCAATACTGTGGTAAAGAGAGTATGACAACACGAATCAATTTGAATAAAATCATTTTGTAATTGTCATACATACAGGGTGGCCCATCGAAAATGTTCCGCAAGGCATAACGGCCAGGGTAATTTTTTTTTCAGAAAATTCAAAAACACGTCAATTTTGTTTGTGAGGAGGAGAACTTTTGCCCCAAAAATGATTGCAAAATCTTCAACCCTCTAAGCGGGGGTGTCATCCCCCAACTCTTTTCAAATAGGAAGGAGGGTCAAGTGGTACTGCAATGAAAAGGGCTTTCTATTCTCTATACTTTCCCGCTTCGTTTTTGAAAATCGGTCGAGTCATTGAGAAAATATGAAAGATTGAAATTTGAAAAGTTTATTTAAACATTTATCAGAGTAAATGATAAGGATAAATTCCTTCGACCAATTTGCTGCTTTTTCTTATTATTTCTAGATGTTTACGCATTTTTTCACGTGCCACAAGTTTGAACGATCAGGTGCGGTAGTTGCTAGATGGCTGTTCTGTAACTTATGCGTTGAAGTTCTTCTCAATATCGTTAAACTTTTTAACAATTATGGTGTACTCGCTTGCAGAACAAGTGGAAATAATCGAACTTTATTTTAAAAATAATGAATGTGGCAATCGGGTTGCGCAGATATTCAATGAACGCCATTCTGACAAACACCTTTATGGCAAAATTGTTCGCGAGTTAGTAGTAAAATTTCGCGAAACTGGTTCCGTTATGAATAAAAAGCGGGAAAATCTTGTAGTAAATGAAGCTATGGAGGTATTCGTATTGGGCCAAGTTGCCATGGATAGTACCATAAAATAATGTAGTTACCACAACAACTGTGGTAACTACATTATTCTATGATAGTACCATGAGTACAAGAAAATTAGCCAATAAGTCTGGCGTGAATCGTACAAGTATCCAAAGGATATTAAAAAACACAACTTCCACCCGTACAAAATTCAGTTGGTACAAGAACTCACGAAGACGATTTTCATCGTCGCTTGCAGTTTTGTGAAACTATGAGTGAACGAGTGGCGAATGATAATAATTTCCTATTTAATGTATGTTTTTCGGATGAGTGTACTTTCTTTTTGAACGGTGTAGTTAATCGGTACAACTGTCGGTACTAGGCTGAGGACAACCCCAGGAATTTTCACGAGGTGCACATACAAAACCCTCAGAAATTGAACGTGTGGGCTGGTATTTTTGGAAATTCTATTGTAGAAGTAACAATTATTGTATTGTATTGTTAACAATATTGAGAAGAACTTCAGCACAAGTCAGAGAACAGCTATATAGCAACTACCGCACCTGTTCGTTCAACCTTGTGACAAGTGAAAAAATGCGTAAACATCTAGAAATAATAAGAAAAACCTCAAATTGGTCGAAGGAATTTACTCTAATAAATGTTTAAATAAACTTTTCAAATTTCAATCCTTCATATTTGCTCAATGACTCGACCGATTTTCAAAAACGAAGCGGGGAAATATAGAGAATAGAAAGCTCTTTTCATTGCGGTACCACTTGACCCCCTCCCATTTGAAAAAAATTGGGGGATGACATCCCCGCTTAGAGGGTTGAAGATTTTGCAATCATTTTTGGTGCAAAAGTTGTCCCCCTCACAAACAAAATTGACCTTTTGTGGATTTTTTTGAAAAAAAATTACCCTGGCCGTTATGCCTTGCGGAACGTTTTCGATGGGCCACCCTGTATACATAAAATGTATGTGTTTACAAGAATTTGCATTGGAATTATAGAAACATATGGTATGAAAAATATTAAAAACTATCATAGAATCATCAAGAAATTATGTAGGTAATCAACACATAACGGCGTCAAACACGGCTGGGAAATGACAAACGATGATAATTTTGGCGCGGTCAATCTCTAGACGTCGTTACGGACCATTAAATAATGTCTAGGACTTGACTCCGCCAAAACTGTCATCGATTGTCATTTCCCAGCCTTTTGTTTCAATCGTATGGAACTTATAAAGGTAAATATTATCTATTGCATATTGCTTATTTATATACAGTACGTCTGGTGGATCTGTGTCTATGAAAGGAATGCCGACAAAAAACATTTAAATAAACATCGTCGTATTTTATACCTTGACTTGACGCGTACGTCACCGCAAATCGCTCCACCCACTCATTTTATTGGCTACTTGCAAATTTGTCGAATTTTTATTGATGGGACGCGTCGTCTAATTTTTTACGAAAAACATGGAGTGAATATCGTTTCCCCTCTCACGGATACCCCGTAGCTACAGAACGAACAGACGTACTGTACAAGTAATATAAAATAAGTATAATGAGTAAAGTAATGATACATACAATTCCTCGAGAAAAAAAAACAGACTTGCAAATATTTTATCTTGAGAAAACGAAATAATATGATCTTGATATAGGGTGTGTTTCAAATTCGGTTCTCGACATTAGGATCTTGGACACAGTAAGAGATACAGAGTGATATTTCCGGTTTTATTTTAATTGTTTTTGAGTTTCCTTTGAACGTCAAAAAAAATCTACATATACAGGGTATCACAGAAATAAGTGCAAGTATTTTAAGAGGCGGTAAGTGCGTTTTTAAAATAAATTGATAACAGAGTTATTTAACTTTGAAATCTAAAAAAAAATAATGGCAACATTTTGAGAGCCGCCGGCAGCAATCGACAATCAGCCACAAATACCAAGCAATTACTAGAATCTCAGCTTGTTCGACGCCCAGTGTTGACACATCGACTAGAATGATTTGGCACAAATACATTTATATGCCATCTGAAATCACACTCTTCATTTTTATTTTTGTGAATAAACACCAAAAAAATTGATATTTCTATTTGAATAATGAACGTGTTTTTCCAGATTTGCCTTACATGTGCCAATTTTTTTTAGTTTTGTCAGAGGTTTGAAATCTACGAATAAAATCTCAAATGAATTGGATAACTTAAAAATGTCATCAACTGAACTGTTTTAATGTAGGTCAAACGTTGATTATTTACATATTTAATAGAGGGCGCTGATTCTAAACTGTTGAAAAGCTGCTATATTTATTCATTATTTAGATTCATTATTTCAGTTTTCGCGAGTACTAAACTGCAAAAAAGGTAATAAAATATAGTAGACATGCACACTATGCTTAATAGTATATAATCTATACTAATATATAAAATTCTTGAGTGACTGACATACTGATTAATCACGATCCTGCTCAAACCACTCAACGTAAGAAGCTCAATTTTGGCATACAGGTCCATTCTAGGGTGTAGAGGTTCGATAAGAAGGGATTTTTCGAAATTCCAGTTCCAAGAGGGTGAAACCACCCCTCAAATATTACAATATTTTTTATTTAAAAAACGGTCAAGTTTCCGAAAAAACGCTTAAACACGTATATTTAATTTTGTTTTTTTACATATTTTAAGATCTTTTAAAAATGTCTACAGGATGTTTCGAAAAATCTGGTCATTGATTAATCACGATCCTGCTTAAAGCGATTGACGTAAAAAGCTGATTTTTGGAAAACAGATTGACTTTAGGGTGTAGAGGTTCGATAAGAAGGGATTTTTCGAAACTCGAATTCTAAGGGGGTGAAACTATCCCTCAAATATTAAAATATTTTTTTTATTTAAAAACCAGTGAGTTTTTCGGAAAAACTCTTAAACACGTATATTTTATTTTGTTGTTTTACATATTTTAAGATTTTTTATAAATTTATACAGGGTGTTTCATAAAATATGACCATTGAGTAATCACGATTCTGCTTAAACTGCTTGACGTTTAAAGCTGATTTTTGGCAAACGGATTGACTGTGGGGTGTAGAGGTTCGATAAGGAGGGGTTTCTCGAATCTCAAATTCCAAGAGAGTGAAAACGCCCCCCAAATATTACAATATTTGTTATTTAAAGAACGGTTAGTCTTTTATTTACATATTTTGAATTTTTTTAAAAAATCATACAGGGTGTTCCAAAAAGTTGGGTAATTTCTTAACCACGATTCTGCTTAAACTGCTTGACGTAAAAAGCTTATTTTTGGCAAACGGATTTTTCGAAAGTCAAATTCCAACGAGATAAAACTACTCCTCAAATATTACCAAGTTATATCATAAATATCCCCATATTGTTTTTTCTCATGCTGACATAAATCTGAGAAAATTTTATCCAGTTTGTATGTTAATGGAAATTCTTGCTTTGCTTTATCATCACCATTACAAATGAGTAATTTGACGCGAACGAAGTCGCTGGTACACGCTAGTATACTATAAAGAACCTAGTGTGAAGAAAATTAATTCAAGTATTTTTTTATAATTTTGATAGATATTTAAAAATGTGAACTTATAACTTATAAACATACAGATTGTGGATAACGTAGGAGGTGGCAATATTGCATTCTCTCGAAGTACTATAAACAAATTTTGGGAACTGAACAAGCGGCACTCAAAAGCTTTTCGAATATAAAAAAGCTCTTCTTTCAGAGTGTGTTGACTCATAAAAAAATAAAAGGCGAGAAAACCCAACTTTGCCCCAATTTGAGCCACTCTGTAGTTATTACGGTTTCCGAGTTCAATGGTGAGAGTGGAATTTGAGACACGCGGTACAAAAAATACACCAGACATCAGACACCTATGAACTTTAACATCAATAAAAAAACTATCATAAAATAACTTAATCTCAAAAATATATCATCGTTATTTAATGACATTCAGATAAAATGCTGTATTTCGTCTATTATACGAAATTTTAAAAATATGATTTCACGTTAATCTAAAAAAAATAATCATTTTTTAAAATAGAATTTTTGAAAAAAAACACCAAAAAACATAAACACATAAATTTTGTTTTTAAAAAAATTCAGAATTGTAAATAAACCATTAGAGAAAATAATAATTCACAATAATTAAAAAATATAAATCAACTGCTGATATTTTTGCTATAATATTTTAATAAACTAAATTAAAAAAAACTAATTATTTCAACTCACCTCGCGCCATTTTTAACACTTTTCTTCGTTCAAAAACCAGCCCCAACACTAACCCGAAACCTCAGAAAGACATCGGCGAAGAAGAGCGGGTCACAGTGCACTCAATCTGTGATCCCGCATCACATTAAAATCCCAGGCCCCATCTAGAAACCGCGCAGACAACCACAAAACGCGATTGAACTTTTGGAAACAAGATAACACAAAACTGACTGACTGACTTGCGATGACGGCCGGTTCAAAATTAACTCGAAGCTCAAAGTTTAAACACAAATGTGATACAAAAGCAAATGCAAACGTAAACCTGTGTGTAGGTACGACACACGACGGTTTTGGAAAACAATACGGGGTGCGTGGGATTAGTTATCAGGAGCTGGCAATCGCAAATATTGATATTGTTTAATTGGAATTAATGTAATGTATAGAAAAGCGTAGGATATACGAGTATACCGGGTGTTGCATCGTCGAGCGGGACATAGAAAATCCCATGTAAATTTTAATGGGGTCAATTATTGACTTCCCTAATTATTTTAGAGAATAATTCTATTTAGGTTTATTGAAGAGCACTAAAACCGACATTCAAAAGAATAACTTTAGATATTTTTGATTAGCCCGTTTACAATTTATCGCCGATTTCTTTTTAAATATTTCTCCTTTCTTATGGCCCTGTATTTACTTATGAGCACCAGTCAAGGTAAAACATAACTGTCAAATAAAGTTGTCATTTCAGAAATTTATCTATTTAGTGCTTTATTATTATTATTAAAAACTCATACCTACATCGAAAATATTAGCCATCAATTACACTACCGAAGAAAAAGTATTGATGATTAAATGGTATTATCAAGGAAATAGTTATCAAAAGGTGTCGGACATGTTTGCTCTGTATCCGAATAGACCAATACCTGGAAAATCTACAATCGCAAGAAATATCCAGAGATTTGAGACCAAAGGTACCCTAATAAATAACTGCAGATGTGAAGCAAGGCAGGAACAAAGAGAAGATGCAAGAACTGATACCGACTTGGAAGTTTTATTGTGCGTGGAAGAGAACGATGGAAAGATCAGCACAAGGAAACTTGAGGATGAAATAGGAATAGATCACACTACAGCGTTTCGAATTTTGAAACGAAATAAATACTATTCCTTGAAATATGAAAAGCACCAAGAGCTACGAGATGGGGACGAAATGCGGCGGCAGGCGTTTTGTTTTGATAGGATGGAAAGAGCAAACACGGATAGGGAATTTTTAAAAATCATGTTTTACTGACGAATGCACGATTACCTTAAATAATGAACCCAATGTTCAAAATTATCGATATTGGAACAAAGAAAACCAACACAGGTTTGTCGAAACAAGGACGCAATATCCATAGAAAGTAAATGTTTGGGCAGGGATATTCGGACACAATATTATCGGGCCATTACGCGAAATTAAAATTATTATAATTATTACGCCTTACGCGAAATTTAAATGCAGAATATTATTTGGAACTACTCGAAAATCATATTTTACCTGCTTTACATGATGCCGCTAGGGAAAATCAGGAAGTTTGGTACCAAATGGATGGCTGCCCGGCACATAGTTGTGCATAGTACCCTGGCTGTTCGGGAATATTTAGACAAAAGTTTTAACGGAAACGTTATTGGCCTAAATCATACAGTAAATTGGCCAGCAAGGTCTCCTGATATTTCGCCAAATGATTTCTTTCTCTGGGGCCATTTAAAAAACAGTATATACAAGGATAAAAAATACCCAGATCTAGACGAGTTAAAAAATGCTATTTCTGCCGAATGCAATAGAATTTCAGTTTACCAACTAGCGAATGTAAGAAGAGAATTTTATGATCGCCTGGGTTATTATCTAGCAGTCCATGGAGGAATATTTGAACATCTTCCTAAATCCTAAAGTTCTAACAATTTAATAGTACCTAAATTAATAAGTTATTGAATATTGTAATAATACTATAATTAACCTTGTAATTGATTACTTTATTTTACTTTAATTCATATTAATTTGTATTTATAAATACATCTTTAAGATTTCCGATGTAGGAATGAGTTTTCAATAATAATAAAGCACTAAATAGGTAAATTTCTGAAACGACAACTTCATTTGACAGTTATCTTTAACCTTGACGTAAGAGAATCGGCGATAACTCGTAAACCAGCTAATCAAAGATATCTAAAGTTATTCTTTTCAATGTGGGTTTTAGTGCTCTTCAATAAACCTAAATAGAATTATTCTCTAAAATAATTAGGGAAGTCAATAATTGACCCCATTAAAATTTACATGGGATTTCCTATGTCCCGTCCGACGATGCAACACCCGGTATAGTTATGGAGTGTCTATATTATGGTTTTAATGTTTTTTTTTTAACTAATAAACTGCAGCACTATGGGTTCAGGGGAACATCTCTTGAATGGTTTAAGTCGTATCTGAGCAACAGAAGTCAACTTGTGAGGGTGGATACTACCTTGTTTTCTAGCAAGCCAATAGAATGTGGAGTACCACCAGGCTCAGTTCTAGGCCTTATTTTGTTTCTTCTTTTTATTAACGACATTGATAATATAAACATCAGTCGTAAAATATGTCTTTTTGCGAACGACACTAGCTTCACTTAGAGCAACAAGGACGTCACGGCACTTCATAAGATTATATCAATTGACTTAATCACCATTAAATCTTGGTGCGATTTGAACCTCCTAAGTCTCAAGATTTCTAAAACTAAAGCTTTGTCGTATAAAAACTCGCTGCAGCCTTTTGTACTTAACAACACAACCATTGACGTCGTAAAATCTGTAAAATTCTTAGGGCTTGTAGACAATTCTCTAAAATGGGACATGCATATCGACGCTTTGTCGAAAAAATTGAGCTCTGCCTGTTTTGCATTAAGATCTGTTTCTAAGGAGCTTAACTTGTCAGTGGCTAGAACTGTTTATTGTGCACTTTTTGAGTCGCATCTCAGGTATACCCCTCCATTTCTGGGGTACGGGTTGTGCGACTCAATTTGACTGTACATATTTTCAAGCTCCAGAAGAGAGCTGTTCGATATTCACTGGGACTAAACAGCAGAACTCATTGCCAGGACTTTTTTAAAGAAATAAAAATATTAACTCTTCCTTCCTTATTTATATTTGAATCCGTTTACCTAATACGTAAGCATGTATCAGCTTCTCAAGAAAGGCCATCTCACATTTATCCACTAAGGAACGGCGGAGCAAGATCTTTATCTACCTACCCCACGCTCAGAGTTAGTTAAAAGTTCAATATTATACAACTCGAAAAAGATGCACAATCACCTGCCATTTGAAATAAAATCCATAACATCATTTTCTTCATTTCGCAAAGGATCGAAATCTTATTTACTAGACAAGACTTTCTACACCGTAAATATTTTGATAATCGAATTTGATCTTGTAAACACTGGTCTAATATTTGCTATTACGATATTTACTACTAGCGTGTACCAGCGACTTCGTTCGCGTCAAATTAATCATTTGTAATGGTGATGATAAAGCAAAGCAAGAATTTCCATTAACATACAAACTGGATAAAATTTTCTAACATTTATGTCAGCATGAGAAAAAACAATATAGCGATATTATTATATAATTTGGTAATATTTGAGGGGTAGTTTCATCTCGATGGAATTTGACTTTCGAAAAATCCATTTGCCAAAAATAAGCTTTTTACGTCAAGCAGTTTAAGCAGAATCGTGGTTGAGAAATTACCCAACTTTTTGAAAGACCCTGTATGATTTTTTAAAAAATTTCAAAATATGTAAAAAAAACAAATAAATTATGCTTGTCCAAGCGTTTTCCCTAAAGACTAACCGTTTTTTAAATAACAAATATTGTAATATTTGAGGGGCGTTTTCACCCTCTTGGAATTTGAGATTCGAGAAACCCTTGTTATCGAACCTTTACACCCCACAGTCAATCCGTTTGCCAAAAATCAGCTTTAAACATCAAGCACTTTAAGCAGAATTGTGATTACTCAGTGGTCATATTTTATGAAACACCCTGTATAAATTTATAAAAAATCTTAAAATATGTAAAACAACAAAATAAAATATACATGTTTAAGAGTTTCTCCGAAAAACTCACCGGTTTTTAAATAAAAAATATTTTAATATTTGAGGGATAGTTTCACCCCTTTAGAATTCGAGTTTCGAAAAATCCCTTCTTATCGATCGAAAAATCCCTTCTTATCGAACCTCTACACCCTAGAATCAACCTGTATGCCAAAATTGAGCTTCTTACGTTGAGTGGTTTGAGCAGGATCGTGATTAATCAGTATGTCAGTCACTTAAGGATTTTATATATTAGTATAGATAAACTTACTAAATATTTTTGAATCCTATTTTTATTTTTTTATTCTTTCACATTGTAAACATTTATAAATGTTTATTTTAAACAATAAGACTGACAATGTAATTTGTATACTTGTTTTGTATTCTTTTTTGTTTGTTTACTTGTTTTGTTACTTTGTTTGTATTTTATGTACTTTACTTTTGTCTACAAATTGTAAAATTTTTTGACAATTAAAGCATTTATTTATTTATTTAACGACAGTGTTGTCATCTATAACAGTATGGTTTGGGAGCCAAAGCTACAACAAGTCAGTTTTAAAAAGACTTAAATATTAAGTCATTTCTGAAATCAAAATGACTTAAGTCTTTGACTTAAGTCATTTTATTTCAAGTCAAGTCATTTTTGTAATTACTTAAATCAATATAACGTTATTTAAGTCTTTTTTCTGACTTAAGTCTATATTTTTGACTTAAATTATGATCTGCAAATTAAGTCAGTAAAATGACATAAATCGATATAATTACCCTCAAGTCAAGAAAACCAGAATTTAAGTTAAGTACACTGATAAAAAAGATAGACTTGAACTAAAGTCGTCATTGCACATGAAAAAAAGTGGCAAGAGAATTTATTTTAGTGGCAAGAGAATTTATTTTAGCGTACAAGAAAATATTATGCCTGAAGAAAAACTCTCTTAACTCAAGAAAACTTGTTCTCTTGAAAAATTCGAAAATTTCTCTTGAATCTATTTTCATTCAACCAAGTGCAAGTTACTTTGTTTTAAGATAATAACAAAAATACGCTAGGAAGTACTTCATTCAAGAAATATGGCCATTTTTCCAATAGCTAAATACTCTTTTGATGAAAAATAATAACGACACGCAAAGACGACGAAAGAAGACCCGTGCGGCTCTGGTCAGTGTTAGCGTACCTTAACATGGTGGGGATTATTATTGCTCGGTACACTAC